GACCTGTCTTCATTGATAGCCTTAATTAATTAATCTTGGTGGAAACAAAAACTAATTTTTTTTCCAAATAAGAAGGAAATAAGGAAACCTAAACACCCACTCTTCCCCAAACCCCAAAACTGTTTAAGTTACGGTAACCTGAAATGCACCAGCCATCACAAAGAGCAATTGGAGAAATCCAGCAGGGCTCAGCAGGAAAGATTTTTAATAACAGATTGAAAAACAAGAATAAAAATAACTGCATCAACAGAGCCTTTCTTCCTCGGGCCACAAGCCCGTTCTTACTTGAACTTTTTTCTTTTTTCTAAAAAAAAAAAAAAAAAAAAAAAAATGGCATTTTGGCCATTAAAACCAATCCAGAACATTATTAAAAGTTAAAAGCTACCAATTACTTCTGTCTGTTCTTTTAAAGCAAAGTTTGGCATTACGTCAGTTGGTTTAAAGAAAACAAGAAAGAGAGAGAGAGAAAGAGTAGGAGAGAAAGTTTCTACTTGTATAAACTAAACCACCAGGGAAGGTGTCTAGCCACTTGTAAAGTATTTACTGCAGATTTTTAAAGAGCTAGAAACATTTTAAAAATTAAATGTTTTTTTATTATTTTTCAAGAAATGTACTTAAGAACAATAACAGTATCCTTAATGTCTGTTTTGGAGGTTTTTTTTAAGCTCTATTATATCCTTGATTTAGAAAATGATTTGCAATGATGCTTCAAACTGGACGTGCATAGATAATTTCATCTTTGTATTTGCTACTCCGGCTCTGTGCTTTTGAAAGCAAACAGTGGGTAACAAAAAAGTAGGTATTGCTACTTTAACAGTTACCAGAACTGCAGCCACTAACCAGGCTGCTTCATTTAAGGTACTTGCAAGAATTCAAACCATTTTCACCCTCCCATCCTTCTGCAAATTCAGGGGAAAAAAAAGTTTTCTTATACCCGAAGATCCCTTTCTAATCGAATCAAATACTCTATTACTATTCCCATCAGAGAAACAAACCAAAGACTAACACAGTCAGTTCTCAGACATATCAGAGCCACTGAGTAATATGACAGTTTAAGAAGAGGCCATAATTGTAACACTAAGAACATTATTTATGAAGGTGATATACAATAGAATATCATCTACCAGTAAACAAATTGTGTGGCCCTACTTACATTCAAGAATAAATCCTTAAAAGTAGTTCTAGTGTCTCTGTAGTACTGTTTCCTACCAACCAGTAGTATAAAACAATATTTTAGCATATTTATTTTAATTGACTGCTTAATGCTTTTAGTAGAGAAATGATTTTGACAATTATTTTTAAACTGCCCCAAGTTTTAAAACATAAATAATTATAAAGTGCTTTTTCACACATGGCCATTACAGGTGCCCTTAAAAATTAGATCACATTTCTCCTTGGCAAAGGCCAGAAATTAGAAGAGCATCTTCTGTCCTATTCAAAGCAAGATGCTGAAACTCCATAAATCATAACTGTACAGTAACGAAGAATTCAATTCTTTTTCTATGATACTGAAAGACAGACTGAGCGATCCCACAGATAAGCAACCAAAGTAAAATCAAATCTGAATGCACTGGTATTAATTTCCCCAAATTTCAATCACCAGTAAACTAGGAAAATAAATGCATAAACAAGATAAAGGAACTAGTTACGCATGGTGTTAGTAGTCTCCACCACCAAAAGAGAAAAGAAAAAGAAAACCTATTACCTGAAAGCTTGGCCAAGAGGAACAAGGGAAAACAAATCCATAAAAGTTGACTGTTTTTTATCAAATTGATTGCAACTTGTGAGCTACGATATTTGGGAGAGAACTGTCTGAGTTTATAGTTTTCTGTGCCTGCCAAAAACAGATGCAGACTACCACACCAGCTCTCTAGATGCAACTAAATTAAGCAAAGGCAAATACCAAGTGGAAAGTTGTCAGTCTCCTGAATGAATGGCTTCATTTTATACATCCCAGGGTATCTTCCTAAGAATATGTTCTAATGTGAGCCGGTCATTTTATTTTAAGGGCATTACTTTTTACAAAAATAATAACTTTTCCTTTAAATCAATTATAGCCACCTGCCCACAAACTTTCCTAAAGTATATTTTGTTTTATACACACTCACATAGGGTTGGGACATTGTTATCAAAGAGAGAACTAAAGTAAAAAAAAATAATAATTTTTAAATACATGCACTACTAAAACAGTTTAAACGCCAGTTATGATACTCCAATTTCAAACTCAGATTTCTAAGCTTGCAGGCAATCCTTTGAAAAACTGCTAGTCATTCCTACTCACTTCAACAAAGACGAAAGTTTGTTAAAACATAATACCATTTGACTTACTGTTTACTGAGAAATACACAGATCATTAATGGAAAAGTGTTGCTTCTATCTCTGAACAGACATCATAATAATAATGAACAGACATCATAATAATAATGATGATAATAATAATAGAATTAAAATACTAAGATCTTTAAAGTAGCTTTTCCCACAGATACTCTTCTTTCCATGTTTTGAAGGTTTTCCTAGCAATGAAGACTTCTTTATGTATATAGAGACCTGCACCGTGAAAATCAGAGCTAACTCGCAAATGCTAAGTAACTTAAAAAGAAAAGCGAAAATAATACCAAGAATACAGTAAGACACACAGATCTCACTTATGACTAACACTGATTTGGAGCTCCAACTGTTTTCCAAGCAAGAAAACAGAAAATTTTTAAAAAGTCATTTAAAATATTAGCCGTCAACATTCTGAGCTCAGAATTCACAGATGCTAGTACATTCAGCTCCTTACCTTGACTGCTACCTTTAGGAGAAAAAGCACAAAATATAAACAGCAGTCCAAACTGCACCTAAAATTCAGAGGCGTGACAAACTTTCCAGAAGGCATTTGCTATGTCCCACCATTTATTTGAAGTGTCAGACTTAGTTATTACGTGTGTAAAAGTATTCGACACACACACAATCTAACATATAACAGATCCATCAGGAACCTATAAACATCAGCTCACTGCGGGTAAATTATACTTTGCCAATGCAGTGTTAATGAAGCTTCAGAATGTTCTGCACTTGTAGAAATCAAATCAGAATGCTGGCATCCTAACTCTGCCTCCTCCTCCGAGGTTTTATTTTCACATTATTAATATCCAGAAAGAATCGTTCAACTTTAGCACACCACTGGCCCTGTTTGTTTCACTGACTGGAGACGTTTTTATCAAAGAGCACAGCTTTAAAAGGAAGTTAAGAACTCTAAGGAAATATAAACGCTGAAAACTATACGTTCAACTTGCTAGGATTCAGCAAGTCATTAATAAACTTTCACATAAGGTTAAAAAAAAAACTCTCAAAATGTTGGTATCATTTCCAGACTGTGCTAACAGCATCACAGCTTACAGGAAACACTCACCCTCCCATACAAACCCTGTATTTATCCACAAGCCCAGCAAACTTAAGGAAAGGGGAAAAAAGCAAAAAAAAAAGAAAAATGAAGGCCCCTACAATTATTCTAGGTCATCTGCTTTTCAACACTACCGGTGTAATAACTGAGAGAGGCTCCTTGGCGAACGAGCAACACAACACGTTAGAAACTTCTCAGCAGTGGAGCTTAGGAACTTTCCTCATTTTGTCCACGTCAAGAACTGGCTGCCCGCACTACTTGCCTTGACTTTCCTGTCCCTGGCCTTTGGTGACTCTGATCATCTTTTCCTACAACCAACAAGAAAGTAACAGGATGCCAAGGCGATCCATAGATTTTAGCTTCTGGGCTCGGAGGACCCTGGAGTCCTTGAAAGTTTAAAGCAATCAAAATTGTAGGCAGCAAGCAGGCCTACGATAATCACGTCCTTAATAACTCTGTCTCTCTCGGCCCTGTCTGTATTTTGCCTTTCTCCTGCCTATCTCTCCCTAGTGCTTTCCTGTTCACCTGGTGCCTTTACAGAAGTTGAGTGCCACTAGGGAAGTTCTCTGAATGGGCCCAACTCTTCTCTCGCACTGCATTCTCTGCTCAGCTGCTCAGCTTCACTTACCTTGCTCTTAAATTCTAGCCGGGATTTTCCAAAATAGGATAAGGATGAGTATCTTAGCATAATTTTGACTCAATCTTAAAGTCCATTGCTCTTTTTAAAAAAAGCTCTCCAAGTTATCAATGCTGAGGCCTAAAAAGATGAGGGAAGTAAAGCAGGTCCTACACTTCAGTGAAGTCAAAGATTTCTCTCCTGAAATCCCACCAATCCTTCTTGCCCACCAACTTCAATTGCTTTAGAGTCCTAGGGTCATAAAAGTGACCGACTTCCCTGGGGAGAGGAAAACACCACCATCTCAGACAGGTACTAACAAAAAATAAAGAGAGACAGAGCCAGAAAGGGAAGAAAAAGCCTTCCCAGCCACAAAAACAGCTTTGCACTTCAAACAGCCCCCACCTAGGCCTCACCCTGAAATTATTCATGGGGTCCTATAATCCTGGAGTTATTTGAAGAGACAGCGGTGTTTGCCTTGGCCTTTCGGAGATGCGTTTCAGAGTCTACAGCCCAAACAGGAACTGGAGGGAAGGGAAGGCACAGCGCCTCTCCTCCAGCCTGACCCACCGCTGTCAGGCGTTTAATCCCCGGCCAGTGTCCCCTGGCCCACGCGACACATGGCGCATCCACCGCGGGCGGCGCAGAGGAAGCCTGGCCCTCCGCAGCCCCTACGGAAGCGCCCGGCTTGCAAGGCCCTGCCACATGGCACGGGCAGGGCACCGACCCCAGGGCCACCAGGCTGCCCCGACCCGCTCGGAGGCGGGTGCACCAGCGGATGCGACACCCTTCTCCCCCAGCCCAGCTGGGCCTTTAAGAAGAAAGCAAAAAAAAGAGAGAGAGAGAGAGAGAGAGAGAGAGAGGGAAAAGTTTCAAGCCAAGTTTTACAAACTCTTCAAATCCAGAGCCAGTGCTGTGCAGTTTTCCCCACTTTGGGGACCCCACGAAGGGCCCTCTCGGGGAGGATCCTCCCGACCCTCCCAAGTCCGCCCAACTTACTACTCTGCATGCCGCTGCCCAGCGTGCTCCCCGCTTGTCAGGAGCCCCCCAGAAAGCTCGCGGCGGCGGCGGCGGCGGCCCCGCGGGTCCCCGGCCACCCCAGCTCCTGCGCTGCGCCCGGAGGAGAGAATCGCAATCCGCCAGCGCCGCAGACAGCCGGGGGAGGGAGGGGGCACCGGCCGAAACTTCTTTTTTTGGCCAACGGGGATTTGTTTTTCCTCCTCCCCGGCGGCTGAACTTGACCCTCACTGACTCCAAGGGGCTACTGCAGTTAGTTGCAAGTCGCCGCCGTGCAAGGGCTCGGATGCCTGGGACCCCAGCACCCAGACCAAGGCGGAGAGGCACGGGTGAGGGGGGTGGCGGGGGGGGGGTCAGGGGAGCACGAGAAGAAAGAAAGAGAGAAAGAAATCACACGCGCAAAAAAGGAAGAAAGAAAATGCATGTGAAACCCGAGAAGGCTACGCTTGGCTTTCTGCACACACACACACACACACACACACACACACACACACACTCTCTCTCTCTCTCCCTCCGTCTCCCTCTGTTTCTGTGCTCCGGGCTTGCTGCTTTTTTTTTTTTTTTTTTTTTTTTTAAGAAAGTCACTTTTAATTCCCAGGGCTCCCCGCTCGCCGCGATCGCCCACATTTCGCGCACACGCGCGCGGGCGCAGCACAGGCGTCGCGGCCAGCGGCCCGGGTCCCCGGTACCGGCCCGGCCCCGACCCCGATCCCCTCCTCCTTACCTGTTGATTAATCGTCGCGAACACCCTCGCCAGTCCGGAAGATGGTGGCGCGGCGGCCAGAGCCATGAACCGTCCTCTGTTGTCCGCGGAGTTGATCTTGGATTATTGGGGGGGGGGGGAGAAAAAGGTCTTTTCCTGCCTCCCCCCCGGGCCCTGCCCTGCCCCCCTTAGGAAGAAAAAGAGAGCGCGAGAAAGAGAAAGGAAATAGAGCGAGGATGTGCCCGGTGTCGGTGGAGAGGGGAGGGACGCGAGGAGGGGGGTGTTGTTTTTTGTTTAAAAAAAATAATAATAAATCGAAAGGCGAGAGCGCGATCGGAGAGGACGCGAGGTCTGCAGAAAAATATGATCAGCACCCCGAAAAGAGGAGGCTGGAGATGGCAGTGAGATCGGGGCTTTATCAGAAATGTTATCGCTTGTCAGGACCTCCGTCTCCGCGCATGACGTCAGTTTCAAGACACCAACACTATTAATATCAAAGGAGCCTTCGCGGAGGAAAGCGCCACCCCAGACCCAGTCCCTTAAAGAGACAGCGCGCGTCCCCGCGCCGCCGCCGCCGCCGCGCCGCGCCGCGCCGCGCCCCGCCCGCCCGCCGGCCCCGCGCCCGCCCCCGGCCCGGCCCGGCCCGGCCCGGCCCCGGCCCGCGCCCCGGCTGCGCCACAACTTCGCCCGCGTCCGGGCGCCGCGAATGAGCGCCCGCGCCGGCCCCGCCGCCTCCGCCCCGCCCCCGCTCCCCGCCCCCACCGCGCGGCGGCCGGAGCCGGAAAATAAAATCAATCGGGCCGCGGGGGAGCGGCGCGGCGGGGCCGGCGGCGGCACCCACCTCCGGGGACGCGGGAGGGACCCGGGGGGCTCGGCGCACCCCGGAGCTGCTGCCCCCCCAGCAACCGGGAACTCCCCGAAGTGGTCGCGATCGCGGGGACGACTCGGGACGGGGTGTGCGTGTGCGCCCCTCCCCGGCTGCGCGGTGCGGGCTGCGGGGCGCGGGTGCGGCGCGCTCCTGGGGACCCGCACTAGTCGCGCCCAGCTAGCTGCCCAAGCCCCGCCGATCCCCGGGGCTGCGCGGCAACTTGAACTCCCGTCCGAGTCCGAGAGCAGCGCGGACCGGGGTGGCTGTAGGTTTTCCGAGCCGCCGAGGAGGCGCAGCCGAGGCTCAGTGGGTGCGTGAAGGGGTACCACCCCAGAGATAAAATGGGGACCCGATTGGGCACTGCCACATGCAGACGTGAGGCTGGCTGGCCAGGGTTTCAGTGGTAGATAAGGAGCTCCGGAATCAGGCGTGACCTTGTTTTTCCTACTTCGTATCTCCAAAGACTCTCCTGGCTGAGAGAAATTGTCTCCAATGTAAAGTTCACTGAAATGGACTGGATTTTTTTTGTTTTGTTTTGTTTTTAACTTCTAGAGATCGACAATGCATAAAACATCACCATGACAGGACTCAAAGGATAGGAGGTGTTCAAAACTAAGTAAACATTTCTTGGGCGTTTGGACTTCATTTTCTTCGGTTGGGTGATTTTAAGTGGCGTGTTTCTCCTGGGGTGAAAGTCGGTTGCAACTAATTTTGTGCTAAAAGGAGAAACATCTTTCCTTCTCTAAACTACAAAATGATTAAAATTAGAATTTTAGAGAGGTACAATCATGAATCTGTGAGCATAAGATGAGGTAATTTCCTCCAAAATATTTTTGACTAAATGATTCTTGCATCTTTTTGGAAATGAGTATGTTTTCGAAACATACTGTTATCAAAAGCGAAAAAAAAGCAGTCATATAAAAACTTAAAACTGAAATGTGTGCCCTTAAAATCTCACTCCTTTTTCTGGAAGGTCTTTATTTTCGTTTAGTATAACTACACAGACAGATACGTGATTTCTTTTTGCAACACATTTATTCCAGAAGTATTTTGGTAGAATGTCTCATACACTCTTTATGAATAGAAAAGCAATAATTCTTTTGCAATAGAGAAACGAGTCAGGTGAGACAGTAGTCAAAATACAGTTTCACAATGAGGCAAACAATATATTCCCTAAAGGAGGGAGAAGACAGTGTCTCATATGCGTAGCTATTCATAAGTTATCATCTATTTAAATCAGTTGAAGGGAAAAATATATATATATTCCATATACATTCTGTGTGCAGGGAAAATTAACATGAAAATCTGTGATTCTCATAGTCCACTGATAATGACCACATTGGAGTCATTTAATACTGTTCGCTGCTGATTTCCCTTCTAAAACGTATTCCTACATTAAATATAGGCCTTTCCACACTGGAGTTATCTAACACTGTCCACCACCACTTTCCTCTCTGAAAAGGATTCTTCTATGAAATACAGAACTTTTATTTTCTTTTTAAGCCATAAGTTAATACCTTGACTTTTATGGAAATATGCATGTCACAGTAAGAAGTGTTTTTATTCAGAAAAATACTAAGGATTGGAGTGAAACATTCCTTAGCCATGACTCACTGAAAATATTAGGTCAAATAAATTTTGAAATATGCATCCGAATAGTCAGATTGTATTTAAATGGTTAAGACCACCTAAAACTTCTAAGGCTGGTATCTAACTGATAAAATCTGCTGCTATTGCATCTTAGCAAAGTTAAATAGTACAATTTATCACAAGGATTAGGCCCTTAATCTCCTGCTGCTCCCCAAGATTTAAATGACATTTTAAAAGGGGAAATGATCTCCCTCTCGGTTGCCCTCAAGCCTAAGGCAATCGTCAAGAGTGTAAATTTACTCACATGAAATAATCATTGATTAAATTGGTTCAAAAAAATTAAATTACATGCTTTTGCAAGCACAAAACCCTTGAGAGCGGCTGGTGTTTTTCCACCTGTAATAATACAAAATCTGACCATTAAGTGTACCCAAAATTATATGTTATATGAAAAATTAAAGCCAAAGGTCTAAGGGTGAATTACGTCCTTTAATTGAAAGTATAAAGTTACATTTCAGGTACTGAAGCCAACAAATTCATGCTCACTTAAAAATATAATGAATGAAGTTTCACGGGCTCAATTTTGCTGAAGTTTGCCTGAGAAACGGGCTCAATTTTGCTGAAGTTTGCCTGTTAGGTTTTGCATTTTAACTCAGGATAGAAGAGATCAAGATGCTGTCCATATCAAGCCACTTCCATTAGCCACGAAAGATCTGTAGAACTGAATAAAAGCACACATCTTTTCGTAAACTTTTTCAAGCAAATTACTTATTTATTTATGAAATAATTTATGAAGAAAATTTTTACCTCATGCTTTGGATATATTACATATGCTCCTGATTGGCACAATATGTTAAAGCTCAAAGGCCCTCGTAGGATTTTTTAACTCTAGTAGGAATATTTCAAAACAAGCAACTAATACATGAGGTCATAATTGTTTGACAGTTGTTTTTAATATATAAAATAAGTTATGTATATTGTTTGCCTTCAAATGTTTGTTGATTTGTTTTTCTAGTCCTTACATTTGCGTGGAGCAAACTGAATTAGGGGAAATATTAAAGATTTATTTACATTTATTATCTTCTGCTGTCAAACATATGCAAAACTCTTAAACCATTCTTTTCTTTTGCCTTTTTTTTTTAAACAACGCAGTTCTAAACAATAGAGCCGGAGTGTTAAAATAAAAACCTGGCCTTTTAAAGGATGCATCAAAAAATAAAGAATTTAGCAGAGACTTTTAAAAACAAATAAGCAAACAATAAAGCAACATTTAACTGAAGTAACTTCTTTGCAGTCTTTCATAATGTTCAAACTCTGGGATCTTCTCTCATGACTGGACCACTGATGAAACAGATCCTTGAGCTGTGTGAGTGCTTATTCTTTATCAACGTGACACAGTACATGCTTTCTGTTTTATTATTTAAACATTCTTTCTTCCTCCTTTTCTCGTAGTTTATTCAGCGGAGATACAGAGAGGGATTAGCCATAAGTACAAGCATACTTGTCTTACATTTTCAGCGTCTTACCACAGAACTGACTTGCAATTTCCAGTGCCAATCACAGTGATGTTACCTGACGGAACATGCACTTCAGAAATGTAATCCAATTGTTTACCCCAACACGTCATAAATTGCAATCCTTTTTAGAAACCTCAAAGATTGATAACCCTTGATCCGTTGTACTGACTTCTCTAACACATCATAGCAAGAAAATATTTATGTATTATTTGCTCTGGAATCAGTCCTGCATTATATGAAATGGAAGTTCTGTTTGCCTCTCAGTACATCAAAAGCAATTATCAGAGTGCTATGCCCTCCAATGTGGTGGAAGCCGAGGGAACAAAACATTATTATAGATGAACTTCACTGAGTCTATGTCCCTCCCCAATCACAGAGTACTCATCTTTTAAGAAAATACTCTTCTGCACAAATTATGATCATTTTCCAAAGTACCTATTGCTGAACACCTCTGGGTGAATTTATTAAAGATAAATTCAGCTTTAAATAGCCTGGATCTGGTATTCAAATTCACACTTACACTTGCCAATCCTCCCCCTGCAATATGAGGCGAATGCCTGGTTAAACAGATGGGCCTCGTAGCCCACCCTAAAAGCCAACAAACATGGGCTTTATTTAATTAAAAAGGGAAACAAATTTTAGAGGTGTAGACACATAGGCATGCGTATGCACACACACACACACACACACACACACACACAATTCTGGATAAGAGGGCCTCATGATGAAAATATCAATTCTTGCTTTTTCATCAGGTCTCATGAATGCCCAGCTATCCGCTGGCCAGTGGATTGAAAACAGAAGTACATGACCTCATTCTGTGCTATGCATTCAAATCAAACCACTATGGGCAATGGTAGAACTGACTTCCTTCCCTCAAATAGTAAGAGACAAATTACATCAAAAATGACCCAGATCCGACTCAGTTTCCTATCTGATCTTGCAAAGGTGCTTTCCAAGTTTTGTCCATGTTTCTCCCTCTGCTCCATTGTCTTCTGTGAGCCTCGCCCATCCCATATACTACTTATTCCAAACTCTATGCAATTAACTTTCAGGTGTATGTAATCAAGCTCAGTAAGGAAGTTTACTTCAATTTCAGACTGGAATTTTCCACCAGAAATTCAAACTTCCTATGTCTAATAGCATAATGGAGCAAGGGGGGAGGAGTGTTTAAACAGCCAAAATGGGGCTGGGGATTTGGCTCAGCGGCATAAACGCCTGCCTTGCAAGTGTGTGGTCGTGAGTTCGATCCCTGGTACCGATTAAAACGAAAAAGACAAAAATAAAAATGAACAGAGGCAAAATGAAAGGAGGGAGAAGTAGACCAGTCTCATCTCCGTCAAAGACGTGAGTCACCCAGACCAGAAACCTCAGACTTGGACATCTTTGGCAATCCCCAGGCCTCCGTCCTATTGGTTAGCTAACCCTCCCATTGTCCCTTTTTAAAGAGCTTTCTTATCTGTTGCCACTTTTTTTCATCTACGCAGACCTTCCCCAAATTAAAGAGTGACTGCGTTCCCCACAACATCACAGTCAGCACCGTCTACACTGTGTTCCTTTCTATCCCACGGAGCACAGAGCTAGCACATGACTGCCTCTCCC